CTTAGCCCTGGGTGGCCCAGCAGCTGCTGTGACCCCTGAGAGGAGAAGCCGGATGCAGGCTGTGGCCTTCCCCTCCACACAACCTCCTGGCCGACTCTGCCGTCCTGGAGGGGCCCCTAAGGTTGGCTCGGCTCTCCTCTCAGAGCCGGGGGTCCCAGGGCCATCCCCCAAGGGTGGGCAAGCACTCCCAACGTGGGTCTGGGAGGGGAGGCAGAGGGGGCTTCATGCAGAGGAAGCCCAAAGCCAACTCTGCAGCCAGGATGACCCGTGCTCCTTGGGCGCACAGCACACGGGACCAGGGGAGCCCCCCACTTCCTGCTGGGCTGGCTTCGGGGGTATGCGTGGGGTCCTCAGGCAGAGGGACAGCCCACCTCAGACCCTGGGAGAGCCCCTGCTCCCCCTCTCCCGCAGACCCTGGGAGAGCCCCTGCTCCCCCTCTCCCCCCCGCCCAGAGTGCCCGAGTCCCCACCCAAAGACCCCCCAGTCCAAGTGGAGGCCTCTTCGGCTTCTGCCGCTCCTGTGGTCCCACGGCCACCGCAGCAGTCTGTCTGGGGAAGCCCCGTGGCTCAGATGAAGAAGCAGAACATGAGGCCTCAGCCCGGGGTTAGCAGCAGAGTGAGGACCAGAGACCCAGCTAGGCTGCAGGGCTCAGAGGGTCAGGGACAGGATGGGGGCAGGGGACTGAGTGGGGAAGGTCTCCCCTAGGACTGGCTCTTAACTTTCACTGCCTGGGTCTGAGTGAGGGCTGCCCCGCTCGGGTTTGGGGGCCAGGGGACCTGAAGTCCTTCAGTGGCAGGACCCTGCTTTCACGATTACAGGTGTCCCAGCCACAGCCACCCCAGCTGCCCTCAGACCATCTGCGGGGGACTTCCAGGGCCCTCTCATTCTGGGGGCTTCTGTCCAGCCATCTGGGTCCCCTCCCTTCCTTTAGCTCCCACGCCCCAAAGTGGGCCCTAGCCTGACAGCCCACAGCTACTGGCTCTGCAAGAAGCCCTCCCCTTCCCCCAAAAAGGACCCTTACCCAGCACCCTGGGCTTTGCAGACTTTCAGCATCATGCCCAGCAGCCTGTCCATCCCCATCTCCTGGGACCCAAGCAGGTGTGTCTCTCCCTCAAGGCTGAGGGTGTGAGCCACAGGCAGAATACGGAAAGACCCATTTGGCTTCAGCCATCGTGGGGCTGGAGGCCTGTTACGCCACGCGCAGGCTGAGGCCCCAAAGGGGCATGGAGCCTGGCTCCCTTCCCAGCCCCTGGACATCAGGGTGACCAACGCAGCGAGCTAACCCACACTACGTCTCTGACCTGCAGACTCCGGCACAAGAGAAGTGCAGGGAGCCCCCGCCAGCCAGAAGAGCAGCGGCCACCGCTGTCCAGGGGATGACAGAGCCCCCTTCTCCAGGTGAGTCCCACAGCAAGCTTCAGATGCTCGGCACGAGCAGGGGGGTCCACCTGGGCCTGGGAACGTTCTACACACACATGCACTTAGGTGACCGGGGACCAGGCTCCACTGAGGGGGGCAGGCCCCGCACCTCGCACATGATGAGGGCCGTGATAATCATGGTGTGGACGTGACCAAAATAATACTAGAGGCCCCGGGTGGGGCGTGCCTGCACCTGGTTCCCACCACCCCCCTTGGTGGGCACTGCTGTCACGAGGGGCTGCTTTAGCCCGGGTGACAAATGCAGAAATGGAGCCCAGGAGTCCCCGGTGGTGACCACAGGGCTAGAGGGACTCCCCGGGGGCCTAAGGGACACCCAGGGGTGGTCCTGACTGTCCTGAACGAAGCGGGGTGCCCAGTGGGAGTCCCGCAGAGCCCCTAAGCGGGCATACTGGTTGGGAGGTCGCACCTAGGATCCAGCCAGGCTCTGCCATGTCACAGCTCTGTGTGATCTCGTGTAAATACGGGGTGCCCGAGCCTTGGGGGTCATTATGTTCACCCTACGGTGACTGCAAGGTAGTGGTCAGCTAGAGCCCCTGGTGCCTAGCGAGCTGGCCACCCCGTGGTGATGGCCATCGGCAGGGTTTGGTGCTCAGCCTGGGAGGTCGAGGACCCGCCCCCCTTCCCCCGGCGAGAGCGGGCTCCCCACGCGGCCTCCGGGCACCTGACCCGCGTCCCAGTCCTGCGTCCCCTGCGTCCTGCTGCGGGGCCTCAGAGAGGGCTCAGGAGGGGCGGCGCGCTCAGGCGGGCGCGCGTCTGGAGTCCTGGGCTCGGGCTGACTGACTGCCCTGCCCACGGGGCGCCGTCCGCCGCGGGCCTCAGTGTCCCCATCTGCGCAATGGGGGCGGGAGGGGGGGGTGCTCAGAGCCCACCCGGGGCGGGCCGGGCCGGGGGCGGGGTCGGGGCGGGGCGGCGGGCGGGGCCGGGGCCCCTCGGCGTGGTGGCGGCGGCGGCGGCGGCGCGTGCGCGCCCGGCTCGGGCGGTGAGTGCGGAGGGAGCGAGCGCCGGGCCGGGGGGCGCGGGGAGCGCCGAGGGCGGGGTCTGCTCGCCGCGCGCTGGGGGCGGGGGTGGTCGGGGGCCTGGGCGCGCGCGGAGCTGGGGGGCGACGCAGAGCGACCGCGGGGAGCCGAGAGGTGAGCGGGCCGGGGGCGCCGGATTTGCCGCGCGGGGACACGACCCCCAGCCCTGCCCGGATCCTGCGCCGGGTCCGGAGAATGGGCCCAGCGGCCTTCGGAAAGGGCGCCCCCTGCCGGTAACAGGCGACGAGCCAGGCCGCGCGGGGGGGTCGGGGCCGGGGGCGCCGCAGCCCCTCACCCGCGTCCGGGCCCTGAGCGTCCCCCAGGGCCTGGCTTAGGGCCTCGCAGGCCCCAGACCCCGTGTCTCTCTCCATCCTCACCCCCACCGCCCCACAGATCCGGCGTGCAGGGGGAGGGGAGGCTTGGGGCCGGCGGCGGAGAGGACGCTTCCCCAATGTCCTGTCACCCCGCCTTTCCGCCCTCCCAGGGTCCTAACGTCCAGAGCACCCCTCCCGGTGGAAGGGGGGGAGCCCCCGGCCGCCGCTTTGCGGCGAGTCAGGCCCCTCCTTCTGCGGACCCAGCCCTCCGGGATGGGCGCTGCGGGGATGCAGCGCGGGCAGGTGGGAGGGAAGGTGGTGGGCTGGGCTTCTGCTGACCCTCGGGGAGGATGGGACATTACTGCTTATCGACCTGAGGCGCTGCGGCCACCCCCGCCCCAGCTGGGCTGCAAAGGGAAATAAGACTCTGCCAGCCCAGCACAGGCTGGGCAGCGCCATGGGCCTCCGCTGGCCCGGGAGAAAGCCTGACTTCAAATACTGAGTCTCTCCTCTCTTAAAGCATTATCCCGTTTGAAGCCTCTGTCAATGAGTAGGGGAGGTGCTGGGGTGGACATCTGGGGGTGGGGGGGACAGTTACATCTGCAAGAGATGAGCCTCCCCCACAGGGCACCAAGTGCAAGCACATGTGCTCCTGCCCAGCCCCCCGGGCCCTGGGGCCACCTCTGCCTTCCCAGGGTCTGCTCCCCAGTGTCACCTGTTCCCATCCCTTCAATTCTTGCCTAGACCCCCAGGAGTGCCCCCTAATAGTGTGCACCCCCCAGGGTCCACTCCCAGAGGTCCTCTTCCCAAGCTGGCTCACAGGACATGCCCCTTCCCCCAAACTAAGTCCCAACACCTTGGCTTCCCTTCTTGGGCCACCACAGTGAACAGGGGGTACAGGAAGGACTCTCCTCCAGCTGCCTTCCACCTCACCTGGGGCCGTGGGCCAGAGCAAGGACCCCACTCCCAGCTGACTGTGCAGACCCATCATGGTATCACTCCCCTTGGGGTTGGGCTTGGCAGGCCTGAGGGCTCAGCAACTGCTCGCGGGGGTCACTCTTGACCCCCTTGATGGGACCAGCTGTCAGCTGGAGGAGGGGCCTCTGAGACCGTAGTGGTGTCTTTGAGGAAACCGAGTCCCAGAGAAGGGGGCGACCCTACCCTGATTCTACCTCTTGCCACATGGAAGTCCAGCTGTCTTCCATGTCCTTCCTGCTGGATGCCCTGCAGGGCCAGGGGCTGCCCACCTGGGTGGAACCCCGCCCCCTGGGGGCCTCGGCTGCGGTGCCTGGAGCGCCCCGTCTCCCCAGATGCTTGGCCGCACATGTGGACACCTCCCCCTCCCCCCACCTCTCCCTCCCCACACCGCGCAGGCCCCTCGGCGCGTTGCAGACCATTAATTCTGGGCTGGGTTTTCCCACATTCCCAGGAATGCTCTCCCGGGTCCCTGGCGTCCGTCCCCAGACGAGCGGGATGGCATTTGGCTCCACGGGCACGTGGGGAGGGCTGCTCCAGGCCCCTCCCCCCAGCCCCGTCCTGGGAGCCCTGGAGCAGACCCGTCAGACCCCAGGGCAGGAGTGACCCCCGCCACGCGGGCTCTGCCCCACTCTGAGAAGGACCGTATGGCCCCTCATGCTGAGCACCTGCACCCCCTCATAGACTCCCATGCCACCCCTGTGGCCGGCTCCCCATTTGGCAGATGAGGACACTGAAGGCCAGGAGGACCAAGCCAGCTGGGCCAGCTTCCAGCTCTGCCCACTACCACCCGGTCGGCAGACTGGGCTGGTCTGGGGACCACCCTGCCATGACACGAGGGCACTAAATCCAGCCAGGGGAGGGAGAACTGGTCCAGAGGCTCCCCCTGGGCCCCCACCTTCCCAAGTGAACGTTGCTGGAGCTGTGGCTGCCTTCAGGCTCACCCAGACTGAGCTGCTGCATCCTTGCCCTTCTGGGGTGTTCCAGGCTGTTTGTGCGGGGCAGAGGGCTGGCCTCCCTTGCTGGGGCGGTGGGAAGAAGGGGCGGCTGCCACGGCCCTTGGGGACTCCTGCGGGCACGAGGCTGCAGTGGGAGGCCCTAGCAAAGCGGCTGAGCTGGGCAGGTGTCCCAGAGCCAGGGACCGGGCTCCCCCAGAGGCACGGGCTCAAGGAGGGATCTGCAGAGGGGCTTATGGGGGTGCCTTGTGCTTCAGGCCCCCCTGAGGAGAAGGCCATCCCCCCTGCAGACACGGGCCATGTTCACCTCCAGGGAGCTGCTGCTGGTGTGGTTCCTGGTGCTGGCAGTGGGTGGCACTGAGCACGTCTTCCGGCCTGGGTGAGTCAGAGCGTGGGGGGCTTGGGCCTCTGGGTGCTGCAGCGGTGGGGGTGGGCAGCCAGGAGCCCTCAGGGCAACCCCCAGGACTGGGGGTGGGGGGGGGCATGGCTCTTCTTGCGGTTCTTGCTGAGGGTCCTTCCTGTGGTGACGCTGGGAGACCCCTTCCCCAGATTCTTGGCTGCCTTGGCTCCAGGGCTGGAAGGGTCTGGGCTCTGGGCTGGGAGCTGTGGGACTGACTTGCCGGTGCCCCCACCTCTGTAGCCGCAGGGTGTGTGCCATCGGGGCTCCCAGGGGCCCCGAGTCAGAGTCTTTCGTGCAGCGAGTGTACCAACCCTTCCTCACCACCTGTGATGGGCACCGAGCCTGCAGCACCTACCGGTGAGCACCCCCGCCTGCCACTCATCAGCCCTGAGCCCCAGGAGGGCCGTGCACCCCAAGGTGGGAAACCCGGGCCCACGTCCAAGTGGATGGCGGAGGCTGGTGCCTGCTTTGACTCGGGCAGTCTTGGTCCCAGGGTGTCACTGTAGTAACCTCAGACGTCATCCCGTCTTGCTCCCCCACTCTCATCTTTGGGGGGGGCTCGCCCATCCTGTCCGCTGCCCTCTGCTTTCGGGGTGCTGGCGACGAGTTCTTATCCATTTGAGATGATCCCTGCCTCGCCCAAACCTGCCTCTGACCTCCAGGGGGGGCACCCCTCTCCCCATGACAGCCCCCGAGGGTCACAGGTGGAGACTGTACTCCCAGGCCATCCCGGCGCCCAGCTGACCGTCAGCGTGAGCGCGTGGGTCTCCTCCGGTGCTCAGCTGTGGAAATGGGGCTTAAAGAGATTTTGTTGTCTGTGGGGTTTTCAAAGACCTTCCTGTGCGATATCCCCCTGCTGGCCAAGAAGGTGGGGGCGGTGTGGGTGGGGCCCATCAAGGGGCGGGGCCCTGTTCCCTGCCCCTTTCACTAAGGCGGCAGGCCAAGGCCAAGAAGGGGTCGGTAAAGCCCCGTTAGTGAGCGCCCCCTTCCCCACCTGCCCAGGGGAGGGGCCGGGCGTCCAGAACTCGGAGGCTGCCCGTGGCTTGAGCAGTGCTGGGAGGGAGCACCCTCGGCGTCCAGGGGCCCAGTGCCCAGGGAGGGAGGGTGGGGTGAGGAACTGGGGAGCCCGGCCAATACTGCTGATGACTCCCTGCCCCTGCCCACCCCACAGGACCACCTACAGGACTGCCTACCGCCGCAGCCCTGGGCCGGCCGCCCCCGGGCCTCGCTACGCCTGCTGCCCCGGCTGGAAGAGGACTGGCGGGCTCCCCAGGGCCTGTGGAGCAGGTCAGAGGTGCAGGGCCTTCCCCGGGGCCCCGCAGACCCGGGCAGAGCCCCTGCGGCTTTCACCTGAGTGGAGTGCCTCCTTGCCGTATGGCACCCCTTCCCCGGCTGCCCGCTGCAGGGCCCTGGGGACCCCCCTCCGTTTGTGACAGGCCTCCCCCTCAACAGCAATATGCCAGCCACCGTGCCAGAACGGAGGGAGCTGTGTCCAGCCCGGCCGCTGTCACTGCCCTGCAGGATGGCAGGGCGACACCTGCCAGACAGGTGAGGCTGCCTCCTGTCCTCCCGGAGGGGAAGGGTCCTCTGGGCCCCTCGCTGGGCGTCGGGGGTGGTCCACCAACAGGCGGGTGTTGAGGGGGCTCAGTGTGGGTGCCACTCCCTAGCTGACACCGCTTTTTCTGCAGATGTGGACGAGTGCAGGGCTGGAGGGGGCCCCTGTCCCCAGCACTGCATCAACACCGCGGGTAGTTACTGGTGCCAGTGTTGGGAAGGGCACAGCCCATCTGCAGATGGTGTGCTCTGCCTGCCCAAGACAGGGGCCCCCAGGGTAGCCCCGAACCCCACAACAGGTAAACTTCCCACATGCTCCCCCCATCCTTGCTGCTGTGCCTGGGAGGAGGGCCAGGGAGGGCCTGGGGAGGGGTGGGCATCAGCCTGCACATCCGTGCTGGGCACAGTGGGGGCTGCCGGGGGCCTCCTGCCCTGGGCTGCAGGCCATCTCCCTAACCTGGGCGTAAGTGGTGATCTTCCCCAGGGGAGAGATGGGCGCTGCTTTCTTGGGGGCGTTGTGGGGGAGGGTTGCCGAGGGAGGGCTCACCTCAGCCGGGAGAGTGGAAGACGCGCCCCGGGGTCCTCTCCGTGTCCCTGCCCCCACAGCCAGGAGACGCCACACCTCCGCTGACGACGGGACATTATTACTTTTGGTACGCGCTGTGACACTTCAAACTCGTACCGTGAGTAATAATGCGCTGTCGGCAGCCTGGCACCAAGAGCACGACGTGGACCTCGGCTTGGACGGCTCAGCACCGCGGGGACCCTGGCGCTGAGGGGTGGGGTGGGGCGGGGCGCACCTGCCGGGTCGGGGCGTGCTGACGTGGCCAGGCCGCCTGCCAGACCTCAGGCCAGCCTCGCTGCCTAGAATGGGGGTGGGGCTTGAGCCCCGTCTCCAGGGCTGTGCCCGGCACTTGGCCGAGGCCGAGAGGCCTCTGCATGGGGAGAAGCCGGCCTGGGGTGTGGGGTGTGGAGCAGGGCCTGCCTGATCAGGGCTGGGATCTCCCCAGGCGTGGACAGCGCAGTCGAGGAGGAAGTGCAGAGACTTCGCTCAAGGGTGGACGTGCTGGAGCAGGTGAGGCTTGCCTCCTCCATCGTCTCCTGTGGTGTAGCTCAGACCCTCAGGGTGGTTGTGGGGTTCTGTGCGGGTGGCCCCGGGAAGGAGGCCTGGGTACTGACAGCCCAGGCCAGGCAGGGCTAGCAGGCCCGGGGGCCCCAGGACAGGAGGGCCAAGCTTGGCCGTGCGCCCCCCACAGGCAGCAGAGTGCCTGAGGCCAGGTCCAGCCCACCTCTACCTTTGTCCCTGCGGCCTTTCTATGGGGCCGCTGGCCTGAGGACCCCTTGGAAGCTCTGGTTCCCCCCCCCAGCTCCCCTGACCCGGGACCCCAGGCTTTGGGGACCACTGCCGGGCGGGTCACAGGTGTCCATCTGCCCATGCATCCGGCTCTCCTGGCACAGACGCTCCATCTGGTGGACATCCAGGGCCCTGCAGAGCCCTTACAGGCCACAGGGTTCCCTAAAAGCCTTGTGGAACAGAGAGGGTCCCTTGTGCCCACAGAAGCTGCAGCTGGTGCTCGCCCCGCTGCATAGCCTGGCCTCGAGGGCCCTGGAGCATGGGCTCCCAGACCCCAGCAGCCTCCTGGCGCACTCCCTCCAGCAGCTGGACCGCATCGACTCTCTGAGTGAGCAGATCTCCCTCCTGGAGGAGCAGCTGGGGTCCTGTGAGTGCCACCCCCCCACAGAGCTCCCCGGGAGCCTGGGACCTGGGGGGAAGGAAGGTGGTGGGGAGCAGCGGCCTCTGACCTCAGCCCTTTGTCCGTCCGCAGGTTCCTGCGAAAAGGAGCTGTAACAGGCAGCCCGGGCCCCTGGCCCTGGCTACTGGGAGCCTTGCCCACTGCGCTAGGTTGGGCCAGAGGGGGACTTCGCGCCAAGGCGGGGCGGGAGGAGGGGTCCCCCTAGGTGTGATCCAGCCCCAGCCCGGCCAGCACCAGTGAGGGGGGCCGTGGCTCAGGGGAGGTACGAGGGTCTTGCTCGTTGGGGGCACCTCTGCTCCGTGTCAGAATAAAATGAAGGTTCAGGCGCTGCTGTGTCCTTGCTGGATTCTGGAGGGCATCCTGAGGCTGATGGGGGGCCACCTGCTGGCTGGCAGGAGGGCAGAGGGGCAGCCGTGGGGCGCAGAGGGGCAGCCGTGGGGCACAGAGGGGGGCTCCAGCCACACTGGGCCTTCCTCCTACACGGGGTCTTGGTCCTCCCTCTCCACAAGGGGCTAGAGCTGGTGGTTTCTGTGACGGCGAGCCTGGCCTCTCGGTGATAAGCTCCAGCCAGCGGCCAGAGAGCAAATCTGACCCCCAGCGTGCCCGCCGCCCAGTTCGGGGGACATCCCCACCCCTGGAAAACAGTACCGCAGGATGATTGCGGGCCTGGCCCCGTAGGGGGGCACTGCGGGGGGGGGGCAGGGAGTGCCCCCTGGAGGCGGCGAGGGCAGCCCTGAGCACTGTACCGCCCTGCCCACCCCGAGTGACCACAACTCACCAGGTGCTTCCAATGGTTTGTTTATTATAAAACACGGACGGTGTGCAGTGCCTGTTTGGGCGGCTTGCTCCCAAGGCCAGCAGAGCAAGGACCTCTGCTGTGTGCTCTCCCTGAGGCCCAGGTTGCACAAGACCAGGTGTCCAGCCGCCCCCCTCCCCCGCAGAGTCCCGTTTCTCCCAGAGGGCCGGCCGCGCAGCCTGCCTCCACGCCCCACAGGCCCCGGCAGGAGGGTAGAGCGTCTCAGCCCTGGCCATTCGTCCCGAGGCCGTGCAGCTCAGCCCTGCCTGTCGGCCCAGCTGGTCCTTCGCCTGCTCCCGAGTCTGAGAGGCACAAGTGTGGGCTTCTTGGGAAGGTTCCAGCTGACTCTCCTTTTGGGGGGACATCCGAGGCCAATGACAGGAGGCAGCCTCCTGCATCCAGGGCCCGAATGAAAGCGGGGGGAACCTCGGGAGCAGGGCACAGTGATATTTAGCAGCCAGGGCAGGGGAAGAGGTCCCTCTGTCCCTTCTCCGTCCAGGCCTTGTCCCAGGTCCTGCCCCACCCCAGGCCTCGGCTACTGGGCTGGCTGGCAACCAGGTCCTGCAGTCGCCCTGTCCTCCTGGGGTGTCTTGGATATGCGGAGGAAGGTGGTCCTCATGGCCTGGTAGCAGGTATCCATCAGCTTGGGGACATCAGCAACAGTGAGACCACGGGTGGGGATGGCATCCAGCACCTCCACCTTGATCGTTCCTGTTGGGGGTGGGGCATCAGTCGCCTGGGGCCCCCACCCGTGCCCGCTGTTCTGGCGCCCAAGCTGCAGCCTGTCCTTGCTCTGGCACCCGCTGAACCCCCTTCCTCCTTCTCCTCCTCGGCCACCTACCGGCCTTCCCTGGACACCCTGGCCTCAGGTGGTTGGTTTTTAACTGAGAATAGTCAGTACGACCAAACCCATAGCTCCTGAGTCCGAGCTTGGTAGGTTCTGACAACTGTGTATTTCCCTGCGAGCCCCACCCAAGGTACAGAACTTTCCTCCTCCGGAAGGTGCCCGCCTGCCTCCTCCCAGGCACCCACACCCACCACTCTACTTCCATCCTCCACCATGGTCTAGGGGGGGCCACGAGTCTCAGATACGGGGGTGGGGGGACACAACTTGGCTCCTCTCCCCCCCGCCCGCCCGCTGCCCTTCAACCTTTGACCCCACCTTCCTACCCAGGCACCAGGTGCCCACATTCGGGATCTGGAAGGAAGGGTAGTGGCCCCACGTGTCGCGACTGGTGGGCATGGGGGTACCTGGGAGGCTGCTGCCCAGCTTGGGCCTGTGTGTGTGAACTCAGGCACCTAGCCCCCCCTGTGCTGGGATTCCAGGTTCCTTCCTCCCTTCACTCACCAGATGGTCACTGGCCTACAGGCACCACCCAGAAAGGGGGACTACCCTACGAGGGGCCTGGGCGCCCCCGTGACTGAGGGCGAGGCACGCCCGCGGGTGTGCACGGGTGATGGGGTGCTACCTGAGCTGAAGAGCTTCGTCTTGGGGCTGTAGAAGGAGGAGAAGCTGGAGTATATCACGGGGATGACAGGCACCTGCGGACAGAGGCCGTGGCGCCTGAGGACACGCGGAAGCCCACCCCCAGCCCGGCCTGAGCCCCGAGGATGAGCTGGTGGGGGAGCCCTGCCTTCCCACTTGCCTGCCTTCTGCCTGAGGAGGTCCCGGGAGTGCCCGCGGCTACAGGCCAGGCAAGGTGACCTGCCTCGGGCCCCTTCCACGCATGACCCCGGGGCCCGGGACACCTTTCATGCCCTGGGTTAATGATCACCCCCAGGGGCCGTTTCTGACCCTGGTGTCTTCCAGGAAAACGAGCAGGCCCTGCCCCCTCCCCGGTGACAGCTGTCCCCAGCATTCCATAAACTCATCCTACACATCATCACTCAAGCATCCCCTTCACCAGGAAGCCTTCCTGGGCCGGCACGTGTCCCTGTGACTCACATCTGTGCCCCCACTGGGTCCTAAGTTTGCCCGGGGAGGGCAGGGCCCTGTAGAGTTTAGCTGGAGGTTACCGAGGTCCTGCTGCCCACCCCTCCCCCATCCTGGGGAGGCAGGGGGCAGCTGTAGCCGGGGAGGGGACAGGGTCGGCTGGTATTCCTGCAAGACACCAGGGTCAGAAACGGCCCCTGGGGGTGATCATTAACCCTGCCGGTCAGGGAGCCTCTCCCTGGTACCCGCAGGGGTGCAGGCTTGGAACACAGGGAGGCGACAGGCTGGGAGGCAGGGCAGCGGAGAGGCCGGGGAATGCTGTCCAATCTCCTGGCTGAGGCGGCACTACGCCAGCCCCACCAGAGCCTCTGCAGCGTCCTCTCTCTCCTCTCCCACGAGCCCCTTGTCCCATACCACCAGCAAAAGGAAAGGGCATCAGCCCCAGGTATGTGGAGGGGTGCCCTCCACCTCCCAGCTGGAGGGGCCGCAGGCCCAGGGGGTGAGAGCTCAAAGCCCAGGCTCCTCCACCCCATTCACCGGCTGCTTCCACACCCCCACAGCTGGGAGCCTCCGGAAGGAGGGCTCGCCCGGCCTTGCTCAGGGCCAGACAGCAGGGGGCGCTAGAGGCCGCCAGAGCCAGGTGGAGGGCCAAGAGCAGACCCCTGCCCAGGCACCGCCCAGACCCTAACTGGGCAGGACGAAAGGCCCTCCCCCTGACTGCAGATGACGACTTTTCCCTGCACGAACTCCCCCAGCACAGAACCAGGAGTGGGACAGGGCACCCTTTAGCCACCAGGAGACACTGCCCCGGGGATGGATGGACCCGCAGTTCTACGGGCGTCACCCCCAAGCACCTCCCGGGACAAATGGCACCTTGGAGCTCAAGGACCAGGAAAGTAGAGGGGCCCACCGCAGAGTTCCAGCTCACTCTCTACGGGCCGCCCCCCAGGCCCTGCTCATCTGGCCCCAGCCCATGGTTCTGCAGGACTGAGCAAGCACTCGGCCTTCCCCAGAGAGCCCAGCAAGTAGGCCTGCCGCCGCTGCCTCCCCTGGGGACCCCTGCTGGCCAGCTACCAAGGGGGCTGCCGAAGCTGGGTGCGGGATCCGATCAGCACCAGCCTTGGTGCTCAGAGTGGGCAAAGGGGCCCAAAGAACGGCCCTCCCAGCAGGTCAGAAACCAGGTGTTGGAGGGGTGAGGAGGCCCTGTGCCCGCCCAGTGGGAGGTGGTCCCCGAACCCCAGTGGCCCCAACCTGGCCAGGCCGTCACCTTCGGCTTTAAGCCAACCTGGACCCGCTTCCCTGCCCCGCTAGGAGGGCAGTGCCCTGGCGCACCTGGGTCTGGATCGCCAGGTAGAAGGCGCCTTTCTTGAAAGGTAGCAGGTCTCCATTGTCGTTCCGCGTGCCCTCAGGGTAGATCCACACTTTGAGCTGTGGCGGGGAAAGGAGGCAGCTGTAGCCGGGCCATCCCTCAGGGCCCTGGGCCGCCCCCTCCTAAGGAGCCTCCCTTGTCAGCTGAGGCCACCACCGCAAATGCGCGGATGCGGAGGCTCGGCTCACGACATTTCCACGTGCAGGGGGCTGAGGTGCTGTTGGGCACCTACCGCCAAGTGGGAGCGTTTGCACCGCCAAGCAGGCCCCCAGCCCCACACTCACGTTCTCCCTGACCATGCGCTCGCCCACATCGGCCATCACGGTCATGGCGGTCCTGGAGTGCTGCCGGTTGATGAAGAAGATGCCCCCAAGGTACATGATCAGGCCCACGGGTCCCAAGAAGATCAGCTCCCGCTTGGCAATCTGCACGCAGCGCTCAGGTAGGGCCTCCATCAGGCCTGCAGGTGGCCACGGGCACCAGGCAGGAAGGGGTCGGGCTCAGAGCCAGGCAGCCACCTCCCCAGGGAGGAGAGAGCCAGCCCTGTGCCTGGACCACCAACAGGCCCGGGCCGGGTCATGCCTTCCCACTGGCCACCCCGCCAAGTCATGTGGCCTCTCGGCCTGCTTCCCGCCTGTAGAGAGCGGTGAAGCCAAGCTCCCAGCCGCCGGGGTGAGGGTGGCAGAGCCCCGTACCCAGCGTCGGGCACACACAGCTTTGTCATGTGGCTGGAGGGAGGCACGGGTCCCCCTGGCCTGGGTTGGCCCCCCTTCCCCACCAGGTCATCTGGGCCCAGGCTCCAGCTCTCTGAAGCACCCCTCCCTCTCCCTGCAAGAGACCAGGGCAGTGTCCCAGGCCGAGCCTCCGGCCAGGAAGGACCAGCTCTCCCACCAGCCCCGCTGCACCCTGGCTTACCCATCATGTCCAGGATGCTCTGGTGGTTAGAAATGATGACACAGGGGTGGTCCACCTCCAGCTTCTGGAGACCCTTTGTCTCAAAACGAAGGCCGAATATGTACTTAAACTTTGAGACAAACCATTTGATGATCCTGAGAAGAGAGAATGTCAGTGAGCAGGGCCCCCCTGCGCTGCAGCCCGTCTTGGGCTCTGGCCTGGAACAGACACACCAGACGGAGCCTTGGCTGGCCCTCTTCGCGGGCAGCTGGCGGGACCCTGAGTTCACCTTCCCCTCCAGGAGCCGTCAGGTCCCGTCCCTCAAGGGGTCAGTGAGTGCGGCCGGGTCTCCTGCCACCCTGGCGGGAACAGGGAAGATCAAGGACAGAAAGGAGCAAAGCCTCCAGGGGTGGACACCTGGCAAAGGGGAGGCCGTCCTCTTCTGCATCTGCTTTGCGGGGACCTGCCGTGCGGCCCTGCCCTCACCCCACACCCCTGCTTGCTCATCCAGGGGCAGCTGCAAGGGGACTGGAGGCTGAGAGCCCCTGGAGGGCTGGGCTGGGTCTGGTTCTCGGCTGTGTCAGCAACGAAAAACCCTACATGGAGGGGCGCCCGGCTGGCTCAGTCGGGGGAGCATGCAACTCCTGATCTTGGGGTTATAGGTTCGAGCCTCACGTTGGGTGGTGAGATGACTTATAAAATCTTTAAAAAATAATAAAATAAAACCCAACAGAGAGAGAGGGATCCCTGCACCCCTGCAGAGGCGGCGGGCCCCCACCCACAGGCTCTGGGGAAGGAGACCCTGCAGGGCAGTGCCACACCGGGAAGAAGGCATCCGCAGCAAGTGGAGACCTTTCCAGGGGCTGACGACCGCTCAGGAACAAGCGGAAGCGCCGCCTGTGATGAGAGGAGTGCGGCCAGGCTGGGCTTGCACCCCTCACCCCTGTCCTACTGAGCAATCCCACCGTCCCCTTCTCCCGGGCCTACAGAGCGCAAATGACCTGCCCCAGGGGAAGGCAGAGGAGGGGAGCCAGGGTGTGAGGGGCCTGGGCCTCCCCTGCTTGGAGGTCCAAGCCCTTCCAGCCCCGGCGACCTTCGGGGGCTGCCTCCAAGCAGCACGGGTGGGCGTGAGTGGCTATGGGCGCAGGGACATGTCTACAGGCGCTGCTGGCCTTGGAGGACGCGGCGGGGCCGAGGGCTCTCCCTGGCACGGGCTCCAGCGGGGCCAGCCTGCAGGGTGAGGCTCAGAGCTCTCTAACGCCCCGCAGGGCCCCGGTCCGCCCCATCCCCTGTGGGTGGCTGACCCCCCAGTGACCCAGAACTGTTCCACTTCTCACACGTTTGGGCAGCACCCTCAGCCCCCCGGGTATCTGAGCCCCTCAACAGCGTCCATGGCAAGGGAGGGATTTCCCATTTTATACACAAGGGTGAGTAACTGCCCAAGGCCCGGAAACAGCCCTTAAGACAGCAGACTCAGTACTGGCTCAAAGCCAGACTCTGTTTTTTTTTAAATTGTCATAAAATGCACATGACCCAAAACGTACCCTCCTAACTGCTGTTCAGTGCACAGCTCAGGGGCGTCAGTGCATGCACACTGAGCCGTCCCCTCCATCCGTCTCCAGAACGTGCTCCTCTTCCCAGACTGGACTCTGTTCCGTTACACACGGTCCCCCTGCCCCCAGCCCCTGCCCCCTGCGTCTGTGGATCCGACTCCTCTCGGGCCTCCTGGGAGTGGATCCCTCGGGATCTGTCTTTCTGGGTCTGAAAGCCAGCCTCCCACTCAGCTGCCCCTTTCACAGAACAGAAACCCCGTGGGAGGGCAGCTCCCCCATCATCCCATGATGCAGATGGGGACACTGAGGCTCAGGGAGGCGTGGCCGCACCATTAGACTGGCCGTCCTTCCCTGGACCTGCCAGCCTCGGCCGACTCAGGCCAGACCTGCCCATTTTTCCCTTCCCGCTCTGGGATCTGTGTCCCAGCAGGCCCTGGACACAGGCTGAGCGAGCTGACCAGCTGCTTCACCTCTGCGGGGCCCCGTTTCTCATCTACAAAGACAGCTTCTCAGTCACTGTGAGGCTTGAAGGGACAAGGAGAGGGCACGGCAGGCACTTTATAAAGGGGAGAGACGGAAATGTTCAATAAACATGGAAAATCTTCACTCTCACTAGAAATCAAAGCAACACACATTGAAACAAGAGCCCTGTTCTCAGCCTTTGGGTTGGCTCGGTCCGAAAGAAAAGACCGTAACACGAGGGGTTGGCCCAGATGTCAGGAACAGCCGCCGGGGGACAGCAGGTTGGCAGCACCTGGGCAAAGCCGTGCAGAAATCCAGTCCCGGGGCGGATGGGCAGAGCAGCCGGCTGAGCGTCCACTCTTGGTTTTGGCTTAGGTCGTGATCTCAGGATCATGGGATCGAGCCCCACGTCAGGCTCCAGGTTTCGAGCTCAGTGGGAAGTCCGCTTCCCCTCTCCCTCTGCCGCTCCCCCGACTTGTGCTCTCTCTCTCTCAAATAAATAAATAAACCTTAAAAAGAAGGAAGGAAGGAAAGACAGATGGAAGGAAGAAAGAAAAAGAAAGAAATCTGGTCCCTCTTCCAGGATCTGATCCTAAGGCAGTTATGAGAGGCAGGCCTGCAATCCTCAAGTGTGGTCTGAATTAGAAAAATCTGAAGGGCGCCCGGCTGGCTCCTACGGTAGAGCCTGCGACTCTTGATCACAGGGTTGTGAGTTCGAGCCCCACATGGGGGACAGGGATTACTTAAAAATAAAATCTTAAAAAAAAGAAAAGAAAAGAAAAATCTGAAACCGAACCATCTGAAGGTCCCCGGCTAGGGAGAGGTGAAGTAGCAGTCGGATCTGCAGCCTGCTGGGGCGGAGACCTGGACACCCCGTGCTGCACTGGCCGGTCACGAGCGCCCCCCACCCACCGCGGAGGACCCCCGGCCACATCTGGAGGCGGACCGCCTTCTCTCTGCTGGACGTGTCTACTGGCTTCTCTTTCCCTCTTTCAAAATTGTGGCAAAATATATGTCACATAAAACTTATCTTTTTAATCATCTTTTAAAGATTTGATTTATTTGACAAAGAGAGAGAGCGCGTGGAAACAGTCCCGGCCAAGCAGGGAGCCTGCCGTGGGACTCGATCCCAGGACCCCGGGATCACAACCTGAGTGGAAGGCAGATGCTTCACCAACTGAGCCCCCCAGGCGCCCCGTCATTTTAATCATTTTTAAATGTCCGGTTCAGTGGCATGAAATCCACCCACACTGCTGTGCGACCGACCCCACCATCCGTCTCCAGGACTCTTCTCTCTTTCCTGTTTGGATTTCTTTGTGTATCTGACTTAATGGATTGACCATAGACTGGTTTTTCTGGACTGTGGGAGATGCTGTGCACAGACCCCCGGCAGCGGGCAGTGTGAGGGAGGCCGGCCCGGAGGGAGCAGCGTGCTCTGCACAGTCGCACGAGGAATGCGTCCACGCGGACTAGAACACGCACCAGCTGCGGTGGTTACGGCAGGCTGCCAGTGGTCGTCCTCAAGGGGACAAAGCAGTCTCTGCAGGCCACATATACGCAGATGCCCGTCCACCTGTCCTTTTCCCGATGTCACACAGTTTCAAGGTTTTTTGTAAAAGTGGTAAGAAAGTCCATCATTTTCACAGTTTCCTCAATATGGAAGGAAGCAAACCAAGCTTTGCAGCGGCTCCTGCAGACCCTGGGCCGCCAGGGACAGAAAGCCAGGGGTCCTTGCCCAGGAGAGCAGAGTGTACTTCCCACGGGGGGTGGGGATGGGGGCAGGTGGGAACACCTCCATCCCCCACGGCTGCGCAGCACCTGCTATGTGCCAAGGGTGGGACAGGAAGCCTCACTTTTTGTTGAGAGAGGAACCCCACCAGGTGCGGACACTCCAATGAGGGGGCTTAGGCGAAGCGGTTAAGTGACTTGCCCAAGGTCATGCAGCAGGGAAGCCAAGGTGGGCTGGAACCCACCTCCTTACCTGGTTTTTAGAAAAAAAGTGAAAAATGCTAGGGAAGGGGCATACTGGAGGTGGGGTGGGGTGGGGTGAAGACCCAGGACTGCAAGATGGCATTCCAGAATTGCAGAAGCAAATCCCTCCCCCTTCCCTGAGGCTCTGCAGACCCTGCCCAGTGCCCCGCAGGACTGGAGGTGGCGGCCCTGCCCTCAGCCAGCCCACAGCAGCCACCACCATCCTGAGCACTGGCCCCACTGTGCCCACAGCCCACCTTACCTGAGTGCCCCTCCACCAGCCGCAGGTGAAGTTCAGGGGGGCTGCCCCCTCAGGAGCCAGGGCCCCAAAACTTGGAGCAGGTGTCCCTGGTGCTGGCCCCAGGACATGGGCACACAACTCTGGCTGCTGCCCTACCCCCTCCAGCCCCCAAACCCCCAGGGAGGCTACTGGAGTGCAGCCTCGGTCACCTGAAGCCCAACCAACCTGGGGGTGCATTGAGTGTCTGGCACAGCATTCCAGAAGCCCCCCCACCAGCGGCCAGGTGGGTGACTGGTACCACCTTTTTCCACCTCAAGCCCCCAGAGCAGGACCGTTCCTCAAGCAGATGGGATGTGCTGGCCCTGCCTGGATCTTTCTCAGGAGCCCTCTACTTAACCCCAGTCATGAACTGCTGAGACCGCCTGAGCGCTATAAACACCACGGATCCTTCCAGCGCCCACGGGAGCCCAGGCTCACTCCGATCAGCCAGCTTCCTTGGATCTTCCGTGTTCAGCCTGAGGATCCCCGGGCCCTTCCCAAGCTCTGGGTGAGCTCACTCGCCATGACCTTGGGCATTGCCTTGACCCCGCCCCCTCTAAGCTTCCATTCCTACCTGTAAAAGGGGAAGGGTGTGGAGATTGAGAGGCTGGGACCGTGGGAGCAAACAAAGTGATGATGTCACAAGCAGATAAGAAGAATCCAAAGTAGGCGGCACAAGTGCCCCAGGCCACCTACCTCTCCCCCAGCCAGCAGGTGCTCCAGGCGGCTGGAAGGAAGTTCAAGGCCAGGCCCTGGCCACCTGCTGACCTTTGCCCTCAGCCCCTGGACTGGAGCTAGGTTACTTCCAGATCTGGGCGGCTGTTTCAGCTTAGGCACGCCAGGACTCAGCCAGACCCCTCTGGGTGTGCCCCAGAGAGCGGGGGGTTCTCGGTGGGGCCCACCTGGGGGCAGGCCCGCCAGGAAGGCCACACAGAGCCACTGGTCTGCTCGGGGGACAGGACGCCCCAGAGAGGCCATCCGGCAGAGCAGGGAGAGGTTTGCCAACAAGCGTCTTATAAGCTCGAGCATAAGGAGGGGACGGGAGCTGCCCAGAAGCCCGGAGGTGGTAAGAGGGGCTGTGCGGCAATGGGGGGTGAAAGCTGGGGGCCGGAAGGGGGAGGGGCCAGCAAGCCCTTAGTCCTGACCCAGGACCTCCAGGGCTCCGGGGAGTTCTGGTTTCTGGGCCTGCAGCAGCACATCCAGGGGAGGGAGTCTGCCCCTGGCCATCCTACTCCAAGAAAAACAAAGGCAGACTTTCCTGCAAAACCAGGATCCCCTGCCAGCCCCCATGAGCCACGGGGCTCCCTGAATGCACTCCATCCCCATCTGTGCACACCCCAGGAGCACACAGCGGCTGGCAGCACTGGCTAAGAGGCTGAGTTGTCCTGGGTTCAAATCCTGCCCAGCATCGATAAGCCCCCTGGTCTCTGGCCTAAACAATGCCCATTCTTCCCTCTTTGAGGTTCCGCAGGAGCTGCACAAATGGAGTGCCTCGCTACCCCACCTCCCTTGAAGCCAAGAGCTGTGCCACCCAGGGCCTGGCCATTCCGATGGATTCATGCAGTCCAGCCCCCAGAAGCCCTGCCACGGTAGTGTATGCATACCGGCCCCTGAGCGTGGTGGAGCCACAGGATGGAGAAGCTGGAAACTTCTGCAGGACCTGGGCCTCCCAGCTCCGGTCTCCTTCAATGCACGAGAAAGTAAAGTCTCGTGGAGAAGCCGCTGTCACTAGGGGTCCCGATCCTGCAGCCGAACCTAATCCTCACACACACAGCTGGGCTTCACCCTTGTCTCTGTCAAATGGCTGTACTAAGGGCATCTGCCATGTGGGGCGAGGAAACAGGGCCTAATACTCCACCGTAGCCCAGCACGGAGAGCACAACCAGCCCCCGGGGGGGATCCTTGGTCTCGGCCCCCAGCAAGTATGAGGGTCAGCTCTTCTGTTCCCATCACTGTTCCCCGCACACTCGGAACTGGAGTCCAACAGGCAAAGGCCTCCTTGGGCCACTGCCCAGAGCCCCGTGGGGAGGGGCCCCTGCTGTTCCGGGGGAAGGCAGCAAAGCAGGGGAGGGGGCAGAGCAGGGCTGCCCCCGGCAGAGCTCCCGGCACCCCAAGCCCGGGGCTCCAGTCCTTGTCGGCGCCGCCGCCCCTAGTGCTGGCGGGCACAGAGGGAATGTACGAAGCACACACTCTGGAGGCCCTCCCAGTGGGTCTGCACCCCAGCTCCGCAGCTCTGGGACCCCAGGCACCCGCCTCCACCCCCCTTCCCTTCCTCTCTTCCCCCCAACCTTCCCCCCCGCCGGGAGGCCTTGGCTTCAGGCGGCACCTCCAACTTCTCATCAGAGGAATGAGGCACACGATATGCCCGTCCCCACAGTGAGGACGGTGGGCGTAGACACCATGGCATCGAGCGAGGTGGGCCACCTTCCAGAAGTCAGGGCGGGGCTGGCGAGAAGAGCAGCCAGGGTGCTCAGGGGTGCGGGAAAGACTGCTGAGTGAGGCCACGGCGTGTCCCAGCCCCTCTGCGGAGGGGCCTGCAGGGAGGGGGTAGAGAGCACGTCCGCTCAGCCCTCTGGCACCTCCACCCATCCTCCTGGGTCCTGTCCTGGAGCAACGCAGCAGCTCCAGGCTCTGCCTCCCCGGGATGCACCCCTTGGGGGACTCCTGTTCACACCATGCCCCACCCGTACCCCCACTTCAGCTATGGCTAGGGGGTCTTCAGAGTCATCACCGTGACCCACCCCTGGGGGGCTGGGGGTACGGGGGAAGGAGGCTGTGGCCTCTCCCTGGGGAGAACAGAGCACCTGCTGTTACCCATCAGCGTCCTGGGGTGGGCCCTTCACAGAGCCTGAGTCTGGGGGCTGCCCTAGGGAGGGGAGAGCAGCAGGAAGCTCCCACCCGGTACTGTCAGAGCCTCTAGGATCCCGAGGGGTTCAGCCTAGTTGGCCAGAATCTCAGGTGAGACTGGGGCTAAGGGGCAACAAACCCCCAGCGGGGGGGGTGGGGGCAGGGCCAAGGGAAGGCCAAATGTAGTCAGCCTGCCAGATCCAGCCACCAAATCAGAAAGGGCCGGGTGACTTCTGATTTGACCCCTGGGAAGCAGCTTTGAAGTCTGAGTCAGTCCTTTTAAAGGACAAGGAAGCTGCTTGTAAAGAGGCCACCCGATGACACAGTTGGGGGAAGAGGAGAGTCACCTCCTGGTTCTGTCACCTCTGCTGAAAACCTGCTCTGGGGGCCAGCTCTCCCCCTGCCTCCCGCTCCTGATGCCTCAGAACCACACACGCCGTCCCCTGGCCTGGCTCTAGGAGGGCAGTACCACCTCTGAGAAGCCCATTGGCCTGTGGGTCCTGGAACCCACACCCCTCCTCCGGCTCGAGGCCAGCCCCCAGCAAGTGCTGAGCCGAGGCTCCTGCTGCCCACTGGGGACTCCAGGACCCCAACTCAGGCCCTGCCTTCGGAGACGTGCACGGCCTCAGGCATCCCTGACCTGGAGTGGTGGGGGCCCAGCTTTGAGGAACCCCCTGCAAACAGGTCCTCCCCTCCCCAGGAGCACTCCATGCGGGAAGACAGCCAGTAGGGCCACACCTGGGCTGTCCCCGGGGTCTGCACTCCCTGGGACGTTGGCCTGGGCCATGCTGGTGGTGGGCAGGGGACACCACAGACCCACTGAGCACGCTCCACTCTGAGTCCTCACCTACTCTGGGTAGAAAAGCCACAAACCCCTAAAGACAGGGCTTGGAGGGCCCATGCAGTGTGGGCCAGTCCCAGCAGCATCGGCTGGTGTGGATGGACAAGGACAGAGGGGCGGGAAGTCAGCAACTCTCACCCACTGCCCTGTAACCACACAGGGGGCAGGGACTTCAGGGACCACAGTATCCTCACGGCAGGCCACAGCCAAGAAGCTGTTGCAAAAGCCACAGAGATAAATGTTAGCAACAGCCGCCCTGGGATCAGACACAGGGAGACAGGGCAGGAAGAAGCCCCCGCCCCTTAGCCTCTGACCCAAAGAGACCCCCCACTCTTCAGCCAGAGGCCTGACCTCCCTACCCCACACCCACCAGCGCACAACCCCGGACTGCCCAGCTCTCGGAGGTGTCTACAGAAAAATTCCAGCCACCCCTCCCTTCCTTCCACTCTGAGCCTGGACCTCAGGGGCCAAACCCACCCTTCCCATTCAGGAGCCTCCTACCTTCTTAGCAGGACCCGCAGGGAAGGAAAGGAAGTCAGCCCCAGGGGCATCACAGGTGCGGGTAGGCGGGAGGGGGTGCAGAGAAGACAGGGACCCCTGGGGCTCTAAAGCGCCTCTTCCAGACCAGGGCGGTGCTCCAGCAAAGCCCCCCCTGCGGCAAGCCCCGCAGTCCGACCCGCTCCCTCCCCGCGGGTGGAGCAGGACTGCGCCTCTCCCAGCCGGCCCAGGGCCGCTCCGCCACCCCCCGGCCGGCGCCCCGAACGCCCTTTGCGTCCCGCGGGGCCCTTGGCGGGGCGGAAGGACGCGGCGGCGCTGGAGACCGAGACCTTTTGAAGTCCCTCGGTGTCTGCGCCCGGGCGGGCCCGGGCACGGAGACATTGTGACGTGGGGTCCCGCGGACCGGTGCCCGCCGCCGCCGGCCGCTCTCTCCCCGCGCGCGCCGCCCGAGAGCCCCGAGAGCCACAGGCGGGGCAGGAAGGAGGGACAGGAGAGAAGAAAGTTAGGAAAGCGGAAGCGGGCGGCGGCCCGCGCTCCGCCCCGCCCCGGCGCTGTCCCCGCGCCCCCCCCCCGCGCTCCCCGCGCCCCGCCGCTGTCCCCCCGGCCGGCGCAGTCCCCGCGCCCCGCCCCGCCCCCCGCCGCTCCCCCCCGGACCCCAGGTCCCCTTGCCTCATGTTCTCCACTGTCCGGCCGTGGTGGCGCAGCAGGCAGATGACCGCGGCCACCGTGGAGGCCGAGAGGCAGAGCGCGCAGTACAGCGTGATCTTGGCGCAGAACCTGGCGGAGCGGCTCAGCTGCACGAGCAGCAGGAGCAGCAGCAGCGCGGCGGTCAGCCACGGCCAGAGCTCCATGGCCCCGCCACGCCCGGACCGCACCCCCGCGGCGGCGTCCCCGGAACCCCGACGGCGCTGGCCTTGGCTCCGTCTCTGGGCTCTGGCCTGCGGGCGCGAGGACGACCTGTGGGCTGACGACTGTGGGCCTCCTCCCGCCCGCCCGCGCCCCTTATTGCGACGGCGGAGGGGCGGGGCGGCCCGGGGCGGAGAGGGGAGCGAGCGCGCCCAGGAAGCTGCTAGGTGAGGCGCGCCCCGCCCCGCCCCGCGACACTCCCCCTGTCCCCGTCGTCCGGTCACCTAGCTCCTGGCCGGGCTATCCGCGTCCGGGCCCCGCAGCCGCGCGGCGGGTAAACTTGGGCTCTGGCACCGCCCCCCCACCCCGCCCCGCCCCGTGTTCCCCACACCCCCGCTGCCCCCAACCCAGAAGCGTAGCTCCAAAGGCGACCCAAGGACGCGACCTCTCTGGCAGCCCTGTCGCCACACAAAGGAGCCCCTGAACTGCGCCCGAGTGACTGCCGCCTGGGCCACCTGCTCCTTCGGGTCCCCTGGGGCAATTGCAGGGAGACCCTGCTGGTCCGGCCGGGGGCGACCTCGCTCTGCGGGCCTGGGGGGCACACACAGATTGCGGGTGGAGGCAGTAGGAATGGGACGGCCTTCTGGGCGCGGCTGGGGCTGCCCGCTTTGGGTGCCAGGAACAGTGCGTCACCGTGGCCGGGAGCAGATACAGGGCGATTGTGCTCACATCAACTCAGCCTTCGGCCAGCCTGGCGGCATCAGTCACTTAGCGCTTGGCTTGGGGTGGAAGGAGGGCCCTGGCTGGATGTCCAGGTCACGGCTGCAGGGGCAGCCCACCGGACCCAGAGAGCAGACTGAGCTTGCCCTTGTCCTCTTGGCTGCCTGGGGTCCTGTGTCTGCTGCAATTTCCAAATGCCCATGGACGCCTGGCACTCCTAAGGGCATCAGGAAGTACCTTATGGGTCTCCTGGGTTTTTCAGATGCTGAGGCAATCTGTTACTGAAATACTCTCCTGACAGCCCCCAAAACTGATCTGTTCTCTCTCTCTCTCTCTTTTCTTTTTTTTTTTTCGGTGCAAATGGTGGTTTCATTAAAGCACAGGGACAAGACCCATGGGCAGAAAGAGCTGCAGCCTCAAAACTGATCCGTGTTCACCGCAAATACAAAAGCTTCGCTCTTGAGCTAAATGGGGACCCCTCGCTCTAGGGAAGGTGGGGCTCCCTGCAAGGGCGTAGTAGCCCATTCACAGATGTTCCTAGCATTTCCCTGTGGGGAGGATTGCTTCAGCTGAGTTCCACACGTGGTGTTTCTCAGTGGGACCGATAAGAGCATCTCGGCTCAGCCTTGGTCCGTCTGTGGGGACACGGCTTTGTGTCCCTGTCAATACACGAGCTGGTCTCTTTCCACTCTTGCAACAGCCTCCTGCTGCACCGGCCGCAGGCTGTAGGATTTACGGGCCCGCGGGCAGGCGGCAGCAAAGCCGGAGAGCATGTAGGTCAGTGGGAGTGGGTGGCCTGCGTCCAGGGGTGCAGCTGCAGCCGGGAGGAGGCTGGGTCACAGGGGCTTCTCTGTGGCTGCTAGCCATGCCGGCAGCCGCAGGTCCTCAGGGGGTCCAGACGGGATGAATGGAACCCAGGCCTCGCAAGCCGTGCAGGGCAGAAAGGGCCACTTTGCCCAAGGGGACTTCCTTCTGGTCCCTGAGCAGCACCCTTTCCATGGGACCCCTCCACCTCCAGCTCACCCACCTTGTCCCGCCTCACCCTGACCCTATTCCCAGCACTTCCGACGACTTTGTGACATGTTTGCAGGTTTGTGTACTTGCTGAGCTTCCCTGACTTGGTCAGATGGCCACTTCGTTGGGGCCCATCTGTCTTGCTCGCGGGTGCATGACCAGTGCTGAGATCCATGCCGGGCTCAGTAGGTACTTACTCCCCAGCAAGTGCACCCCATTTGGAAAGGGCACCCCAGATGGAAAATGGCCTCCTAGAGGTGAGAGTCGCCCTGCTGGAGTGACAGGGGAGGAGCCTAACCCTGGTCACTGTGTCCCACACCTGCTGCCCAGAGGCTGCCCAGCGGCTGGGCGTCTGCCCTGTCCTCCAGCTCCTGGGGGCAGCGGTCTGGGCACACCGCTGTGTCCTCATACAGACAGAGAGTCTGTTATGCAATCTCAGCTTCCCCAGTTTCCTCCTGGGCAAATATTGAAAAGAAAAGAAAGCACTTTTCCCCTGATGGGGCAGGGAAGAGGGGTTGGGGGTTGGGGGGATGCCTGTGGCGTGGGGAGTCAGACTCCTCCGGTGTGGGTCTGAAAGACATACTCAATATCGTAAAGTCCTATTTGGAAAGCTAACAAAACCTCATTTGTTTCTAGAAAGTGAAGCCCCGAAGAATCTTCTGGGTTGGTGGAGAGAAGAGATTTTCTCTTAAATTAGTGATTCTCAACTAAGCAGGGACCGATACGGCTCCACTCAGGTTCCGCCCCAGAGCATGGCCAGAGCAGGGAAGCCTGCTCTGATGGGCAGGGATGTGCCAGTGTCCTGATTGACCCCGTCAGGGGACCCGGGGTCCCCACGATGACCTGGGGGAGTTCATGACTGAGTTGGTCCCAGTCCCCTCCTGGGCATTTCTGGGGCTCATCCAGACAGCACATGACACCAGGAGACACGATTGGGGCTGAGTTGTCACACCTCCCGAGGCCCACAGGAGCTCACAGTCAAGGATTGGTGCCATCACCGGGTGCCGGGTGCCGGTGCTGGGCGACGGGAAACTGGCGGCCGGGGGGCATGCTGGCTTCCACACGCAGACCTGCCAGAGGCTGACCAGCCCACCTGCCTACCCACCCAGGGCCCCCTTCTGCCAGGTCCGGGTGGGGCCCCGTGGTCTCCAGGTTTCTCTCGGGTTGGGTGGCATAGTCTGGAGGGAAGGGCCAGGGCTCTCCATGCCTGAAGCCGAGATAAAGTGAGCACTGTGTGACCCCTCCTCGCCACGTGGCATCTGGGGCAGGGGTGGGGCACCCAGCCTCTGAAGTCCCAAGATGTGGCTTCATAGTCCATATTACCCAAAGCGCCAGAGCCTCGGTTTCCTAGTCTATACAATGGGGACAGTAGGCTCACTAGTGGCTGGGAGGAACTGAGCCCATGGCCCAGGCTGGCCCAGCAAGGGCCACTCCTGACTTTGCCTCCTGTGTGTGGAGGTAGGTTCCTGCCTGGGAGGAAGTATGACCGGGATCAGGATGACAGCTCAGGAAGGGGTGTCCCAGCAATCCTGCAAGATCAGGGATTTGGGCTGGGGGCAGCTGACTGTATAGCTGGGCGGGGGCGTGGGGGGGTGGCGGAGCTCCCTATGACCCCTGCTCCCTCTGGCGGGAGGGGGGGCCATCTCCAGGAGATGAAGAAGGTCCTTGGAAGGCAGGCATCAGGCTAGATGGGAGGAAGGGAGGAACCCCGGAGAGACTGGCAGGGGGGTGGGGGGAAGGGCGCGCAGGTGAGAACCCGGCTGGGCTGCCCTGGGGCACTCAGGCAGAGTTCCCCTAGGCCTGCAGGTTTTCAGACCTCTTGGTGGCCAAGGCCACCCCCCACCTGTAAATAAAGCAGCCTGTGAATCTTTCATGGGCTTGTGCTTAAAAATAGATGAGGTGAGGCCTCTGGGCCGGATTCCCAGGTCTCTGCTGTGGCCACAACCTCCCCAGGGAGGCAGGGAGGGAGCTGGCCAGGGCGCCCGGAGCCAGAGCCAGAGCCGGGGACAGATGGCCCCGGGCACAGGGGCCAGTGAGAAGTGTCGTCTGGAGGTGGTGTCTGGAGCTCCCAGGTCCCAGGCTAGGGGGCGGGCCTGGCGGGGCCGGAGCAGCAGCTTGAGTGATCCTTCGCCCTAGACGGCTTTTGGGCTGGGAGACAGACGGGAGCGGACAGAACGACGTCAGAGAGGTAGGACCACCCGGAGAGACGAGGCCCCAAGAGGAGCGGAGCTGGAGGTCCCGGTCCTGGGGCTGAGGCCCTTTCAGTCTACACAAGGGCTGCCCCCCGCATGGCAGCCCCCCACGCAGCCCTCCCACCCATGGCAGGAGCCTGCCTTCCACGCTTGGATCAGCACGCTCACTTGAGGCTCTAACAGCAACCGGAGCCCCAGGCCCCAGATGGGCCCTCGGAGGTGGCCTCGCCCAGCCCCCACCAGACAGGCGGGAGCACAAGGCCCTGGGTGGGACCCGCCCCACCCCACCCCGGGGACTCGGGCCGGCAAGACGAAGCAGGAGCCCTGGGTGACCAGCAAGCAGCCCTTCCTGCCAGGGCCTCAGCTTCCTTCTCCATGCTGAGCGGCCAGGGATGGGCCCCTGGGGGCCCGTGAGGGTAGCAGGCCGAGTGGAAGATGCCAGGCCAGCAGTACCTCCTCGGACAGGCTGCCCTCCAATCACCTCACCCCTGGCCCAGCTGGCGTCTGGACTGGATCAGCTGCCCAGCACTCCCCAGGCCAAGGCACTGACTAGATGGGACTGAGGGCCAAGCGGGCTGCCCTGGGCCTTGCCCCATCCACTCCCGGCTTTGGCTGCTGGCTCAGGGGCTGCCTCTCTGGGTCGAGGGGCCCTGGAGGCGCCCTGGCCCTTCTGTCCTGCCTCTCACTGCAGGGGACAGAGGAGGCCACAAGCACTAGAGAAGGGGCCAGGGGCTGGGGGGCCCCTCCATTATGAAGGCCAGTATCCTGCCTCTGGCACTGGGGGTGGGGGCAGGGAGGCAGGTTGGGAGGAGCCTGGAGGGAGGAGGGCGCTGTGGCCTCCCTGCCAGGCCTCCTTCACCCTTCCCATGACTATGCTGAATTCCCACAGCCCTGGAGGGCTCACAGGGTCAGCTCCCATCCTCCTGACTGCGGCCGGGCAGACGTCCATCCCATGAGCCACACCCGTGACGTGGTTGGTCGGCGGGGGGGGCACCTCGGCAAACCCTATCTGGATGCTCAGACTCACCAATGTAGAGAGCAAATTTTCACCTTTCTCAGGGTTGTCCCTCAAGATGAGGCAGGGAGTGGGCAGGAGGGAGCCCAGCTCTGCAGGCACCTGGGCCTGAGTTCTGCCCACCGTCACTGGCAGGTGACTCTCACCTTCTGTAAATGGGAGCAATGAGGGAC